AAAAGTCACCCAGTTAGCAAGTGGTGGAGTTAGTACTTAAAACTCAGGTAGTCTTAGCCTAGAATACCCACTCAACCCCTGTATTATACTGTCCAGGAAGGCAGAAGGTTGACTCCAGGAAAAAGATAAGCCTGACTGACTACTTAATGTGTCAAAATATAATGAAAACAAAGATTAAATGCATTGAGAAGACAAGAAACTATATTAGTATTAGGAACTTAAGAAATTAAACAAATAAAAAGGAGAAGGAAGACAGAAAGCATTAACTCCAGAGAAAATAAAGAGTAGTACCAAGAGGAAATGTTATAATGTACTTTTTGGCCCCACTGTGAATAATACTGATATGGTCATCGCAATGAAAACATAAATAATAATCTGTCCATAAATCATGCAATAGTTTATGATGACACTGAAGAAGTTCAGGTATTTTAAGGTGAGAGAGCTATATACTGTTAGAGCAAAGAAGATCGCATAAAACAGCTACATTCTTATCCTCCCCAGCAGAAATTTAAAATAACAATGACTTAAATATTTTCAAAGCAGTATAAACACACTATTTACAAATATGATGATAAATGTCAGAAAAATAACTACTAAGAGAGGTGACAGTGGTTGCCTATATGGAGAGAAGCTTGACTTTGGTAAAGGGTAAAGGAGGGAATTGCTATTTTCAGTTATAAGACTGGCATTATTTGGTTTCAAATTCCATACAAATATTATTTTACTTTAAAACCTAACTTAAAAATCTAACAAATAAATTAAATTTTCTATCATTAATTTATCCAACTTATTCTTGTCAGTGAGTGTACCTGGTTTTAAATAAACTAGCCTGTACAACAAAATCTGCTTAACGATGCCAATGAAAGCATATCGAATACTAATTTCCCTCTTCTATGTGCCCTGATAATTGGACAAAAACATTCTTAAATTCAGAAGCTATCTAGTAAGTCAATTGGTTTTCTTTAGAATATTATCAATTCACATATATTTAGAGTATTTACTAAAAAATAAAATAAATCCTGAAGATAAGTATGACCTATTTTTTGCTTGTAAGAATAACTTGAATCTTAGAAATCAGCGTTGCCAGGCTTTTAGCCTACTTGCTTTCTGATTATAACCGCAGATGAAATCTACATCTACTACAACATCATTGACATCACATACCATTCAATTAAATAAAGCTGAAAAGTTCAAGAGACATGTAAGAATACCTTCTCCGCAAGATGCCTGTATCTGATAATGCCAACTTACCCATTCCCTTTTTGAATCATAACCATTATGTGTGTTTTTGACACTGTCTAGATTGCATGCAAAAGCTGGACAACGAATAAGGAAAACCAAAGAAGAACTGATGCCTCTGAATTATGGAGTTGGGAGAAGTCTTCATGGACTGACATAAAAATAAACAATTCTTTCTTGAAGGAAGTACAGCCAAAAATGCTCCTTAGAAGCAAAGATGGCAGTTGTCGTCTCACCTAGTTTGGACATATTATCAGGAGAGATCAGTCCCTGAAGAAGGACATGAAGGCTTGAAAAACTCAAGGGTCAGCTAAAAAAAGGAAGCTCTTCCATGACACAGACTGACACAGTAGTTGTGATGATGGGCTCATGCACAGCAATGATTGAGAACAGCACAGGACCAGGCAATGTTCTGTGTACGTGAGGTTGCTATTGGTTAAAACTGACACATCTCCAAACAACAAACTGTTCTTCTGTATCTACCTTTTCTAAATCTCCCTCTGCCATTTAAAAAAAAAGTTCCATTACACTTAAATGAATAACCAAGAAATCAAAAATATTAGTCTCTTTCCTTTTAAATTCAGAAGTTTTATATCTATTTATTGTGCATTCAAATTAAGTTGAAAAAAGCCAACAAAACTGCCACATGAAGAATGTACTTATCTGTATTTTCATCTTTGTAGTTTATAAAGTTAATGGCTGAACTAAAGAAGTCATTTCTGAATTTAATAGCCTGTACATGTAGGAGACTCCTACAGCACAGATCAATTGTGGGGAGGTCAGGGAGCTGTGGCAGCAGCAAAGCAGCTATTTACCAAATTATTTCACTTCCTCCAAAACACATGAAGCCTTTGCATCTAGGTAGGGTCATGTGGCAAATTCTGGTCAATGAAATATTGTCATACACCAATTCCAGACCTTGGCTCTTAAAATTATTCAGAGATGACTATCTTCTGGTTTATCTCCTTACAGCAACCTTTGCAGGTCACATGTTAAAACGGGCATGGTCACAAAATGAAAAGAACCTGAGTCCCCTAATGACTACATGAAAGAGGGGCTCCCAAACCATATCTGTGATACACTGGACATTTAAAGAAGTGAATCAATCTTATGCCAATGGAGAACTTAATGTTGTATATATTCAAAATTTTGACTACACACAATACATGGGATGCACTGACTTAACACAAGGGCCACTGGGTAGATACCAACAAGTACCTTTAGGTTACTAGCTGATCACAACTGCTTGAGCCACTCAGACTCCGATTGAAAGTACATAATTCTATTGAATGAAAAAGTAGATTGCTTCACTTCTAAGGAAAAATAAAAAAGTAGGCAGTGGTGAATTGGACCAGGCAGCTAAATGAAAGGTCAGTGGTTTGAACTCACAAGTGGGTCTATGGGAGAAAATACAGTGTTTGTCCAACAGCACCATGCTAGGACCCACCATCTGCTTATACATAATATAAAAATAGTACTTACCTCATAAAGTTGTTGAAAGGATTCAGTGAAAGAATCTGTGTGGAACATTTTTGCAACATTTCATTCTACAGTGCTAAACTGTAGATCGGCTTCCTCAAAGACTGTAGCCTAGGGAACCCTGTGGGGCAGTTCTACTCAGCCACCTGGTGTCAATATAAGTTGAAATTGACTCAACACACAAAAACAATAACATATTTCTTAACATAAACTATTATACTAGAAAGGTCTATTTTAAAATATTAAAATAAGATACAAAATAGGGCAGTGGGCAGCCTCTGGGGTCAGAACACTTTGGTTTAAAATATAAATCTACCGTGTATAATCTATATGAGTTGGAGCAAGTTTCTTAAACTCTCTAAATTTAGATAAGACAACTTCATGTGGCTTTTGTGAGTATTACATATCTGTGTCATATAACTCTAGTGACAGACTATCTGGGTTTGAATTCAGGCTGTGTAACTTCGAGCAAGTTGTTTAACTTTCCAATTCTCAAGTTCTGACTCTGTAAAATGGTGAGACCAGAACTGTTAAAAAGTTTTAGTGAAGATTAAATAAAATAGTTGTTGTGAGGATTAAATGAAATGCAGTATGGCACTGTAAAACGAAGTGTTGTAAAAATGCTCCACACAGATTCTTTCACTGAATCCTTTCAACAACTTTATGAGGTAAGTACTATTTTTATGTTATGTATAAGCAGATGGCGGGTCCTAGCATGGTGCTGTTGGACAAGCACTGTATTGCTAACCTCAAGGTTGGTGGTTCAAACCCACCAGCCACTACTCTATATATGGTTGCTACAAGTTGGAACTAAGTTGACAGCAGTTAGCAACTATATATACGTATGGTTTTCTTACCACAGTCATTGGAACAAAAGTAGTTTTTATCATTATCAAATTATTAAAGGGTGTAATTTACTGTGCTAATCCACTTTGGTTATTTTCATGTTTAAAAGGTAACATTGTTTTCTCAATATTATTTACTGTATTAGGGAAGGTTATCTATTACTTTAGTGAAGTATGCAAGAGATTGAAACTCAAAAAAGATTAAAATCAAAATCAATTTTGATAGAAGAATCTGAAGAAAACTCATTAATAAAAGGAATGTTAAAGGAACAAGACAAAGCCTAAGAACCTTAGGAACTAACCTAATGAGTTGAAGGAGAAAAGATTTTCACTTTTTGTTTGTTTCTCTCCATCCATGCCACCCTCAATAAACTCATCTGCTTGGCTTCACAGTCTACCTTCTTCTAGAGACTAGCTTTTAATAAATAACGAGGGGCTTGTCCTTATTGTCACATCCAAAGCAAACAACCCCAAATAAAGTACAGATCTGCAATATAATCCACCCTATGGATATAGCAACTTCAACAACAGCACCAAATTCTGGTTCACAGGGCCAGGCAGGCTGTAAGGAAGGGAAGATAGGCATGCAGTAGGGCAGAGCAAGGACAAACTAGAACCTGCAAAGATGACTGGAACCCAAAGAGCAGTCATGTTTGTGCTTCATCCACCAAGTTTAAACTTCTAACTCCAATGGTGAGGGTAACCTGCAAGAAAACCTGGCATCCTTTGTATAGCTAAATACATACCTGGCACAGGAGTGAGAGAAACTCAAAGAGAAGGTCTGGCAAGAACTTGAGGAACAAGTCCTGTTGATGCTCCATCATGAGATAACCCAAAAAGAAGAATATGATTGTTGCTTCCAAATCTCCTATAGAATATCTCTTACGGCCATAGTAACTCAGAACTATGCAGACAAAGGGATTCTGGGAAATGCAGTTCCAACTAAGTTGACACACCACCACTGAAATGGACTGCTCCAACTGAACCATGGGCTAAAAGGCAAACAACTTCTACTTCCTGCTGCTTTGACTATGCTGCTTCTTGTTCATGTAATTTTTATTAACTAAAATATTTATATGGTCCAACATCAAAACTATGTAATATATGCTCAGAAATGTATCAATTTATTCAACACACATTTACAAAGCACATACTTTATAACTTAACACAATCTTATGGTCTTACCATAGATTCACCATAGTTCACAGTGCTTCCTGGTGTCCACAATGAAAATATAAAATGACTAACTGGACTTTTCCCTAAATCTAACACATAATTTACATCCGAAGACATACTAAATATATAACAAATCAGTATTTATTTTTTCTATATTTGACATATAAATCAAGATTACATAGGGGAAAAGTTATTTTTTGAATGATAAAAAATAAAGTATATAAAGAAATTCATATGTACTAAAATAAAAGAAACCTTTACCTGCTGCCCTGTACAGTATTTTAGGTTCAAAAAATATACAAGGATTTTTATCCTGTATGCACGACAAAAGAAGTCCTTTGGCCTGGAAAGGGCTTCTGGGTACAACCACCTGTAGAAACAGATTTTTTAAAAGACAATTTTAACAAAAATGTATTACAGTAAACTCATTTATAAGAACTGGTTTTCAAATAACCAAAATTTTCTTTTTAAAAGCATTAAAAATTTAAGACTGTAAAGCACAATTATTACATTGAAAACATTATCATTACAAGACAATTCATTACAAGACTCAAATAAGATTCCTGAAGCAAAATACATTTGCATTGCAAGTCATTTTTATGCCATTTTTACTGAAGGATTTTTATTTAAAAAAATAAAACAGAATCATGAAGCTCAATAGTTTATATTTTGTAAACACTGCTGAGCACACTGCATGCCATGTCACTCGATGCCTTTCTTTATCTTATGTTCTTTTTTTTTTACTTTCTCTTCATCTATTTTTTTAGCCTCTTGTACTTCATGTATTGGAATCCTGGTGTGGCGCTGTGGGTTAATGTGCTAGACTGCAAAGCTGTTTGAACTGCAAGGTTGGCAGTTCAAGCTCACCAGCTGCTCCTCGGAAACTCTATACAGGGTTGCTATGGGTCGAAACTGACACAACTCAACAGTACTTAACAACACTTTATGTATTAAAAAAAAAAAAAAGAAAAGAGGAAGGAGGATAGAGAAGGTAGGGAACTGAGATGAGGTCTGTTTTTAAAAACACTGACTAATGTTATAAGCGTTGAATGTGAGCCAATGTTCACTTCAAACACAAAAATAACTATTGCCTTGAATGTGGCTTCTGTCCCAACACACCACTTGTAGCTTATACTTTAAAAATGATGTAACCTCTAATAGCTAAGAAACTTTAATCTTGTAGAAAAAAATATAAATAAATGAAACAGACATAGGTTTCATAACGAATTCATGCTATCAAACAAAGAAGCAAAAATCTAAAATAAATTTTAAAAATTCATGGAAATTTAAATTTAGAGATATTGGAATTTTTCCAAGAACTTTTTGGAATCCCCTAATCCATATTTTTGGACTCCTGATGTGGCGCTGTAAGATCAGCACTGGACTGCAAACCACAAGGATGGCAGTTCAAACCCACCAGCTGTTCCTCAGGAACCCAGGGTCATTATGAGTTGGAACTAACTCAATGGCACTTAAAAACAACAGATCTTTTGGAGGACATACCTTATGAGTTTCTAACATGGCTTCCCAGAAAACTATTCATTAAATATAACAGAAAACAATGTAACGTATAAATTAAGGCACAAAATTCTCAAAATATTTCTATTATCAAAAGACCAAGACTCAAGGAGGGAGAGGGGCTGTGTGCTGGCGGCCGGGGGGCAGGCTTGCAGGGTATGCCCTTTGGTTGTCTGAATGGTTATATATTCCTGAGTGCTTTGGTGTACAGCCAAAAAAACAACAGAGGGAATGGAAGCAAATGCTGCTGAATGATTATATATGGAGGGGATTGTAATCATTGCAATGAAATGAAATACAATAGGATGAATGTAAAGCTGATGTTCTCCCATGTAAACTATCACTCAATTCACAATAAAAACTAAAAACTTAAGGTCTCAGATAATTTTAGAATTCCTTTAAGTGTCATGTCATGACCTTCTGAATTAAATTTACCTAGTATACTTAAAAAAAAAAAAAAAGGCCTAAGCTATTATGGAAAGCAGGCTATAAAAGGGAGATGCTCCAAAATCAATTATTTAGAAAAACAAACAAACACCTAAGCAACAAAGTCTTCCTTCAGTTTATTTGAAAAGTAAGAAAATGGGTTAAAGTTCAGTCCCTATCATTTTAAAGCCAATGTAGACTAAACCGTAGATTTAAAATCACCCCAGGATCAGTAAGTAACAGAGAAACATTAGAAAGAAGCAGAGCTTTGAAATATGGTAAGTTAAAAATAGCTGTGTTCCTCAGTCTTAGTCTTCAAAGCCTATGAAATTATTTCAAGGAATTTGAAATGAATACTGGGTCAAGCCTGTGGTGCTTTAAGGAAACATTCTATAAAACTGAACACTGGAGAGTTGATCTGAATAAAATGATACGTTCTTTTTCTTAAATGAAATTAAGTTCACATAAATTCCCAAAGATTCTGTTTGTTTTCCTCCAGATAAGCATGTTATTATTTGGTGTTGTTAAGTACTGTGCAGTCGATTCTGACTCATAGTTACCCTGCATAGCTATAGAGTTTCCAAGGAGCACTGGTGGGTTTGAATTGCCAACCTTGTAGTTCACAGTCCAGTGCCAATCCTACAGAACCACACCAGGAGATGAACATATCAGTTCATATTAACAAAACTAACCCAAACAGAAATTACTACACAGATATCAAATAAAGTACATAAAGTATTATACCTTGATTCCTGGACAGTGGGCAAAAAAAGCTTCAGGACTCTGAGAATGATAGAGAGCCCCATGACCTACACAGCCCCAGGGAGAGCGGATAGTGAGGCTTCCACAATTAAAAAGATCCCCAGAGCGATAGCGGTACTTGGCAGCTTCATTAACAATCTGGGCAGATGGAAAGGCAAAAGGGACATATCAAAATGAGTCCTTTATTTTCCAATTCTCTTTAATCATTCTATTACAGATATCCCCCACTTTGCTACAGCTCACTGTACTATGTGTGTACTATGCCACTTCACTTTTAACAACAGGCTGACATTAGTACCTATTTCTCTTACTGAAAGAAATCCAAAGATGATTTTCACTTTTACAAAAGAAGACAAAAAGTAAAAGGAATGTTCTAGTTTGTTTGGGCACCAGCAGTAATTAATCAAGCAGCTAGAACAGCATCAGAAAGCTCCTTCTTTGGGAACTACACAGCAGCTCTGCATTAATCCCTCATGACTTTGACCTGTCTCTGTGAACACTGTGTGTCAGTGTTATTCGGTATGATTTGGGTGGGTTATATTGGGGGGCCTGGGAGTGCTCAAAAATATTTCCCATATAAATTAGTGGTAATTACTTTTTCCCTTTACACCAACCACTTCAGTTTACAAAAGGTTTCCTAGAAGTGCAATACTTTTGAAAAGCAGGGGTAACTTGTATGTCTTTAAAATATGTCCGTGCACTAACTCAAAGGAATGAAATGCTCCCACAACTGAGAAGTGGGAGCTAGGGTAAAGGCAGTATTTCATTACTTAACAGACTTAACATTTATCTTAGAAATGTTCATTCATAATAATATAGGATTCCCTTACCTGATCAAACGCAGGGAAAATATAATCTGCAAATTGAATTTCTGCAATGGCAGTAGCACCAGTAACTGCAATTCCAATTCCAAACCCAACAATTCCTTGTTCACACAACGGGGTGTTAAATACTCTATCTTTTCCTATTAAAAATAAAATAAAATAATCTTAATCTAGCAAATGATAATGATATAAGACACAATGTATCTAAAACTTCAATAAATTCATTGTTGTTATTAAGTGTCATCGAGTTGGTTCTGACTCACAGTGACCCTGTAGAGGTTTCTTTCTCGAGAAGCAGCTGATGGATTTGAACCACCGGCCCTGTGGTTAGCAGTCCAGTGCTTATCCTACAGTGCCACACCAGGACTCCCAATAACTTAATGTGGTAGTAGTTGAGTACCTTCAAGTCACTTCCAACATGGCAACCCTGCATAGGGTATTCTGAGAAGTGGCTACTGGGTTTGAACTTTGAAGTTACTGGTCAAGTGCTTATCCTATAGCACCACACCAGAACACCAATTAGTTTATTGCTGTTACTGTTAAGTGCCATGAAGATAGCTTCAACTCAGTGACCCTACAAAGAACTTCCGAGGCGCTAATCTTTTGGCAGTAGCAGAAAACCTCATCTTTCTCACAAAAAGTAGCTGGTAGACTCAGACTGCCTACCATATGCTACAAAGTCCAGTGCTAATTCTATGGAGCCACCATGCACCCTAATAAGTTAATAATGGGATGGAAAGAAAAATGTATAGGACTGATGGAGGAAAGAGAAGATAGTGAAAATAGAAAATTATGCTTAAAATGCAAATATTGGCACTTAACAATAATATTAATTGTAAGTTGAAAGAAAAAGATTCTCACATTGGAATGAAAGAAAATAAAATCCAACAAAATGCTGCCTAAAAGAGAGTACTTAAACTACAAGGATATTTAAAAAAACAAAAACAAAAAACTGTAAGGAAAAAAAATTAATTCACTGAAAAAATAGTCTCAGAGTCCTGGTGTGGCACTGTAGGATAAGTACTGGACTGCTAACCACAAGGTTGGCATTTTAAACCCATCAGCAGCTCCTTGGAAACCCTATACACGTTGCTATGAGTCCAAACTGACTGGGCATCACTTAGCAACAACAGAGTAGACTTTCAGAGCAAAGGCATTACCACAGATAAAAGATGGAAAAGTCATACTGTTAACGGGTTTGATTCACAAGGACATAATTAAATTTAAATTCATCTAATAACATGAGCTCAAAAGAAAAAGAGAAAAATTAACATAACTAAAAGCAAAATGGACACAAATGAAAGATTTCAACATATCAGACTCAGTAAATTTTTCTCAGAAAAAATGTATTCCTGAAACAAATAAGATTTGATCATGATTCACAAACATATCCTGATCTACAGAAGACACTGTACTCAATAGCTAAGAGAACACACTTTTTGTATACAAACAGGATACAGATACAAATTGCCTGTAGGGTGGTAGTGGTTGGATGCCATGGAATCAGTTCTGACTCATAGTGATCCTATATAGGGTTTCCAAGGCATTACATCTTTGTTGTTGTTGCTAAGTGCCGTCGAGTTGATTCCGACCCATAGCGACCCTGTATAGGGTTTCCAAGGAGCAGCTGGTGAGCTTGAACCACCAACCTTGCAGTTCAAATGACTTTGCCGTCTAATGCATTAGCCCACAGTGCCACACCAAGACTCCTTTACTTTACGAGGGCAAAAAACCTCATCTTTCTCCTGCGGAACAAATGGTAGTTTCGAACTGTTGACCTTGAGGTTAGCAGCCCAACTCGTAACCACTATGCTACCAGAGCTCCTTAAATTGCCTGTATGTTGTTATTGTTGCTGTTAAGTACTATTGAGTTGGTTCCAACCAAGAGCAACCCTGTATAGGGTTTATGAGGAGTGACTGATGGGCTTGAACCACAGGCCTTGCGGTTCAAACCAATTTGCAGTCCAACATTTTATCCAACAGCATTACCCAAGACTCCTGTATGTTGGGCTCTAATTAGTCCAGTCTCAAATTTCAAAGAATTATAATCCTATACTGCTTATACATTTTCTGATCATGACAGAGTTAGGCTAGAAATCAACAAAAAGATGATGACCAGCAAATCCTTATACGAAGAAATTGACATATATTGAAATAACCCACTAGCCAAAGAAGAAATTATAATGGAAACAAGAAAGTATTTTGAAATGAAAGCTAATGAAAAACTGTATATCACAACTTACTCAGTAGCTTTTTTCAGACTAATCCTTTGACATATAATAATTTAAAAGTCCAGAAAAAAATATAACTACTCAAGGCATTGGTGAGCCAAAAGCAGGCAGAAAATGAAGGGAAGAGACTTAACCCTTGAAAAAAATGAACCACAACAGATAAGGCATGGCAATTTTAAGACTTTCCCCCTAGGAAACAACCTAGTCTGTGTAATGTACGATAACTACAATTAAAAAAAAATAAACTCAGTCTTATTAGTTTAAGGTGTCACGAACAGTACACTCTGGGGTTGCCAAAGGGTTTTAGAAATTAAGGAGTTAGATCCTAAAAAGTAAACATGGGGAGCCCCAAAATCTGTACATAAACTGCTCAATTCTTTAGCTGACCCTTGTGCCTGCAGGGCACAGAAAAAGACATCATATTTGGTAAAGGATCAAGGAAAACCCTCAATGAGATGGATTCACACAACAGCCACAACAATGAACTCAAAATATATCAAGTTCATTCCATTTTGATGCCCTGCTAAGAATTTGTATTTCCACCCCAGACATACTGAATCAGAATTTTACCTTTAAATAAGATTAAGATGCTGATTCAGTAAATCTGCAGTGAAATATTTCGGTAGAAACACAAATTATCAGCAGAGGGTTGACCCAAAATGAACCAGTTTGAAACTCTATTTCAAACTTGTAGAGGAGTTTGATAAATACCTTATGGTTTCCACTGAAACCACAGCATACAACTTTATTAAAGTATGATTCAATTTTTACTTGAAATTTCATCAACTCTCAGCCAACATCTATACTTTTTTTGGGAGGAGAGGGAATCTAGTTTCAAAGAGATGGTTGGACCTAAACAATGGCCACAGCATGGCCAAGTGACCAAAAGTGTTGGGATAAACCTAGGATTCATATTTTATTTTTATATTCCAAGGATACAAGTTCTTGGTCATTTTCAACTCTATCATTTCTTTTGAATATGATCCATAAGTAAAGCAGGTATTGGCGAATGCCAACAAAACACATCCTGTAGTTTGCAATCTTAAACAGCTGGTAGAACTAAAGTGTGATTTATACTTAGATTGATTTGTGAATATCTTCTGAAATTGTGACCTCTATCCTTCACCAGTTTCCTATTTGACGTTGATTAGCTTATAATTTTTTAAAATCTATGATTCCAATGAACTCAGAACAATTCAGAGGTAGAAAATTGATAGGAAGATAGATAATTTTTTCTTATAATTTTTAAAAGTAGAAATAGATAGGAAGGTAGAAAAAAAGAGAAGGTAGAGATTGTTGTTTTTGTGAAGTACTATCATGTCAGTTCTGACTCATAGCTGTAATGTATATATAGTGTTTCTGAGGAGCACCTTGTGTATTTAAGCTCTTGACCTTGTGACAATGGATAAAATGCAAGGGTAGGTAAAGATCAAGCTAACAAAAACAATGAAAGGATAAAACTAGGCTTGGTGTCAGACCCAGAAAGGAGAAAATTCTGGGTTCTTTTGCCAGCCAAGAACCTTATTTTGTGGGTGGGCATACAAAGAGACAGTGATACTCTGGCCTTAGATGGAGATTCTGCAGGGCACCCAATCCAGAAGTAGTGTTTGCAGATCCCATACCAGCGGCGAATTGTTCTTTCTTTCCCAGACAGCATCTGAGAATGAGAGGTCAGACTAGTCTAGGGCTGACCAGAACCAGCTCATAGTTCAATTGTTCAAAATTAGTCTATATTCAATCATATGTATTAATTTTCTTATTCGTATATTACATATATGAACTTTACATCAGGTTAATTGCATTACAAGTTACAGGAAGTCACAAAGTGTATGTTAATTTATTTGTGCTGTTTCCATTTTTCATTACCTGTTTTTTGGGGGAACAAAAAAAGAAAGAAATTTTGAACATTTAGTTTCTGTTGAAATATTTTTTTGCTGGAAAATGGATATGTTTTGGAGAGATTTGTTAAACTGCTTTCTCAAACCAAACATGTTTTGGAGTAAGAGTGTTCTAAGAAACTCAACTTCTCTGTACTTTCTTATGAAATGAAAAATATCTGAATCTTGTGAATGTGAAGCAGAAAACAAAAACAAAAATCACATGAGAAAACATGAAGAGGAATAAGTTATTCTGGAGTCCTGGTCTGGTGCTGTGGGTTAATGTGCTGCAAAGTTGGTTTGCACCACAAGGTCGCTGATTCAAACTCACCAGCTGCTCTTTGGAAAACCTTATATGGGGTCACTAAGGATAGGCACCAACTCAATGCACTTAATAACAACAATAGGAATTCCAGAACAAG